ACATATATTATTTTAAAGTGCATATTAAATTAATAATAACAAAATTTATATGAAACATATTGTAATTTTAAATTGATTTAAATATTTTTTCTAAAGAAAGTTAATAAATCGATACTCGCATCTCTCAAAGTCTTTTCGAAACTTTCGAATTTTATTATTAACTCTTTCCCGCGATGCTGATTGGTTCTCTTACTTTGTGAGCAACTGAAATATCATGAAGATCGTTTTGATACAATTGTGTGTGTTGGATATATCAAAAGATTAATAGTGTAATAGTATTATATTACTTTCTGCTTTTTTTATTTAAAAGAATATACATATCGTGCATCTGTGGTGTCTAAATTATGTTAGTAACAAATAAAAAACATTAATTTCAAAATGTAATAAACATGTTTATAAATAATGAATAAAATAATTTTTTAATAGAAAAGAAAACGATATATAGACGAATTATATAAACGAATTTTTTGAAAGAAAAGAGAACGATAAGTTTTAATTTATTACTCAGAGAAAAAAGTCGTATCAGCAACTGGAAATTTGTATACAAATAGCGCCTTAACTCTGTATAATAAACTTGTAATAAGAACAATCAACAAGTTATGAATCAAGAAAATATAGTAATATTAATTATTTTTTAATAAATCGTAATAAATCGTTAGATAAACTAATATTGTATATCGTTGTTGTCAGTACGTATTTTTAAATTTATCTCAATGTGATATTATGGCATTATGCTTACTTTATAAAAATATTTGTCTAAACTGAAAAAATGTCATATTTATATAAAATTTATATAACTATGTAATTATAATTGAATCGCTATTTCACTATTGATTAATAATTTATATATATTGTTACTGTGACTATATTTTTATTATATTCAATATTATTTTCATACTAATTATTTTGAAAAACTAATTGCAAGTATTTAAATTTCGTAAATGTCATAAATATAATTGCCAGAACTATTTTGTTTTCTCTCTGTCTAACGAATTTTCATCAGCTTTTGGAATGTCCGAATTATCGAAGTATCCTACAAATGCGACATTGTTGAAATCTCCATATAATGTTTGTAAAAATACTACTTTTAATAGAATATTAATGTTTTTGTATTCATTTATTTATTAATGTTTTTGTTACTCATTTATACTTTTATAGCAAAAGTAGAGGTATTTATCATTTAATATTTTTAGCAAAATTATCTATGTTTTTAAATATTGATAGTTAATGTTAAATAATCATGAAAAAACATTTGCAACAAACATTGATATATGCGGCATTATTTTTCCTGTCACAAAAGTGACTAATAAAAGATAGTATTATTGATATTCTATTAAATTATAATATTTCTCGATGTTTTATCAGTGTGTGGTTATTGATGTTGCGGTTGCGGAAGCCATCTTGAGTTGACAAGACGACGCTTCGCAAAATCGTGTCAAGTTCCCTTGTTCTAGTCTTGTCGTGAGTTGCGATGTTGAAGGAGGGCTTGGTGTCGAAGCTCCTTCGGAATTTGCGGATACGAAATTAGCAGGGTAATGTGCGAATGTAATGTCGATGCCATGTCATATGTAATCATGAATCTATTATCTTGTGTAAATGTAAATTGTTATAATTCGGCTTATGACTAACAGTGGAACTCTACATTTGGATTAAAGCGTGAATTCTTTCCCTTCGATGGTCCTTCATTCTCTCTTGGCCCGCCGATGTTTCCACCCGTCATGTTAGATTTGAGAAGTTCTCGAGTTCTCTCTTATCGAATTTTGGAATAAAGGGTACGTCGTACAAATAGAATCTGAAGAGTCGTTAGTTGGCTACGCTCAGGATTATCTTGCGCTTTGTGGCAAATTAAATGTTTCAAGCTAAGCCTTAAAGAAGCTATTGCGGATTCATTTTGTTAAAAGCGATAAAATATTTCGGTAGACTTAAAAAAATATTGAATCTAACGAGAAAGTAAAAGAAATTGGAAAAGTATATCGATACAATACAGATCTTTAAAAGAAGAAGTGATTAAGATTTTTATTAAATATAATATAAAAATAAATACAAAAAATTAATTATTCATGGATTTATATGGATCATTGTATTTTATAAAATATATATAACGAAAATTTTTTTATATAACAATAACAATGTTTTTAATTATTTAATTAATTTTATTTAAATTTATTTTAAATTTTACTGTATAATAATTTAATAATTAATGTAAAAGCCGAAAATTCTTATTATGCAATAAAATATATTCATAATAAAATATATAGAATGCATTTTGGAATATATGAAATATTAAAGAAAATTTCTTTTTTTAAGTTTTTAAAAGGAATGAAAAATAAATTATTTTATTTAAACTAGATATTATAAATATTTTATCATGCTAATTCGTTAAAAAAGAATTTTTATTGTTGTTCATGTTTCTTTTATAATTCAATATACATCTCAAAAAACATTTTAGCCTTGTTATTTATTGATAATCTCGTTTGTAAAGTAATATATGTTTAAAGAGAGCTTGAAACTTTAGTCTATTTTTTCATTGACGTATTCCTTTATATTGCGTTTATCGATGTACGCCAGTTTGTAAATCCCGGAAGCGGATATTAATAGTCATGAAGTTCTCGAAAAATTTCATCCGGTTATCGACTAGATGCAGCCTTTGTGACGCTTTAAATTGTGTTATCTCAATATAGAAAGAAAAGAGAATCATTTTTCTTCACAGATTCTTTATTGAATCTTATGAGCATGGGCGTTGCTAGTTTCTTTCTAATATGATGATCATTTTTCTGGTAAAAAAACACATAAGAATGTAAAATTTACATGAAAAGTTTACAAGAATCTTGTTATAAATAAGAGAACAAAAAGATAGTAGCAATACTAAATAATGATGATGTAAGTGACATATTATCTTTATATACAGCCTTACAGCTTTATCTAACATGTTTTCTTATTTATAATTAACATAAAAAATTTAGATGTTTTAAATATAGATTCTATAAACATTATTAAAGATGAAATCAGGCTAATAACATAAGGTTATTGATCCTAAATGACCATTGATCCTACTTATATCTTCTTCGACACTCTTCTTTTCGGCACGACAAAAATTTATAACGAAAAATCTTAAATTAACTTTAATTCATTTATGATGCAGTTGACGGTGATTTTATTCAGAAAATAATATATTTTGAAATGAAGAAGAAACAATTTGCTCAAAATATAAATTATTTTAAATATGAAAAATTATTTTTATAAGATTTTATTATAATATTTGTATTATTTGTATTATTGAATGTACTTAAAATATTAAATAAAATAAATAAGGTGTCTGCGATTTTATTCAAAACTTGTGCAATTCACTTTTATTGAATTTGTTTGTTAAAAATATTTACAGTATAAAGCAATTCGCTTTTCGGATAAAAAAATAGATATTAAAAATGAAATTCAAATCTATTGCACATTAAAATTATCTATAGTTTATTTTTATATTGGCTATAACTCTTCTTATTATATATGATCTTAGTTATCTTCTTAGTTATATATGATATATAAGATATCTTCTTAGTTATAGATATCTTCTTAGATATCTTCTTAGTTATATATGATATATAAACATGATGAAATTAATTATTTATCACTAAGTTAAAGAGTGCAATCTAATCAAATACAATCAAATTATTTCAATTTATTATTTAAAGATTAATTAAATAAAGTTAATTAAATATGCGATAGGAAATCCAAATCAAATTTGAGGACGAAATCAGATACGAGTCGCATACAAATGAAAGTTTATCTATCCGATGGTTGTGGGTTCCAAGAAATCCCTCGTCAGGATATATCAGTAGATCCTCTCGTAATCGTTTGTACGAGATCGTCAAAATCGCTTGGGGTGCAAGCGTGCGAATCTATATTGGTTCATCGGATACGCTTTTCTAAAGGAATTTCAGCACTATAGAACTAAGGTAGGATTCGCAATGAAGGCACATGAGAGCCCTTTAGAGTTGGGTAATTCGATATAAGTAACGTGTATTTTGTTCGGAGATTTTTCGTTATAAATTTTTGTCGTGCCGAAAAGAAGAGTGTCGAAGAAGATATAAGTAGGATCAATGGTCATTTAGGATCAATAACCTTATGTTATTAGCCTGATTTCATCTGCGGACTGCATTGCTTTCGACTTATACTATAAATTTATTATTATATATCCATTTGCAGCTACCCAAATATTAAAAAATTTCATGTTTTGAGAGTTAAAATATATTTGAGAAAAACTTCGAGTTTCATGATTATTAAAATGCATCGAGAGAATATACATGTATGCAACATACTTCGCGCAACATTGTATAAAATATATATTTAATATAATATTCATTGTAATATAATGCACTAAGAAGTTAATATAAATTGATTTTAAACGTATTTATTTTTATGATTATTGGAGAAACTGGAGAAACATTTATAGTCGCAATTATTAATTGTTTAAGCAATTTTATGCAATAATATATGAATATTATATATTTTAGATGTAATATTTTGAAATTTGTACAACTTGAAAAAGAGGAAATAATTACACATATAAAATTCATTTCAGCTTATTTTTGTTAAAGTAAATCTTATGATAAAATATTTATATTTATATTAACAGAACTAGGATAATTTAGTATTACATAGAAAAAAAATATAAAGTAGCCTTGTCATGAATTTATGATAACTAACATTGTCACGAAATTTTTATACTGTATAACAGGTATTGTTATTTAAAGTGTTGGCAAAAGTACATCCTGTCTACATCATGAAGTTGCAGTATGGTATATACACTGTTAATTGCTGTTGAATATTCCGCGATAAAATGAGATGATAATTAGGAAGTGTTTTAAGACGTGCCATTATTTAGGACGTTGGCATAAATGCATAATGTTTAAAATTATTTCTATTGGTTGAATTTCTTGTATTGGTTACACGCGTAATTTATTAATAAAATTTAATATACATTTTAAATTTATTTTATTTTGTATATACATATAACAGAACACACAAAAAATATTATAATAGAATTATACTGAATTGTCATATATGAAATATAGTTACGGCATTCTATTACATGCATTATATAAAAAATTTTAAGAAATTTTGGAAAACAATATATGTGTTAGTTTGTTTAAACGACAAAAATTTTTCTTTCTTTTTTTATAAGAATATTTCATTGTAAATATCTTTATAAATAAAAATTATTTCTTGTCTTAATCAATAATTTTCCTCCGACGAATGTAATTTATCAGAATAAAAAGTTAGTTCTTAAAGAGACGCATAATACAATGAAATCGTGGTTTAAGGAAAAATGTAATATGCGCGCCATGTTCTCTGAAGTTCAAGAGACATACATTGAGTCAGCCCAGTGAGTTCAACGATGAGACGAAGAAGTTCTTGATCTGATTACGCACGTATTCACGTATTTTCTGTCTCGCAACTGAAGTTAATTAGTGCCAGTGCTGATGCGGCAAATAATATTTTTTATGAAGCAATCAGAAGATATAATTTCCGATTAATCCTCTTGGCTACAATTTTCTACGCTCTTATACAACATACCGTGATTTAAACAATTGTAGAAACTGTTTTGCAATTAAATAAAATATATAGAATACAAAATTTTAAAAAATTAATAATTAAATGAAACATTACTTTTTATTATTATTATAACTAATCTCTGTTTATTATTATAACTAATCTCTGTTTATTATAACTAATCTATGCAAAATATGCAATTTTTAAAATATTTTAGGTGTTTTTTATTCTGAAATTTTCTTAAAATATTTAATTATTTATAAATGTACTTTTAAAGATTTGATTATTCAGAAAATTCAAATTTGCTATTATTTACTATGTATAAGTATTATGTATAAGTGGCTTTCATAACAATCATCCTGATAGATATAAAATAAATATTTTTTAATACACATTGATTACTTAATTTCTTAAAAATATTTCTATATTTTCTAAATTTATTAATAAATATTTGTCTTTATAATATTTACTAAAACATTTTAGAAAATGCAGAACAGCGAAGCGCATGTTTACTTATGAAATGTTACACACAGTTGATAAAATTGTCACTGGGTGTGTTGAGCTGTCTTTGTAATGTTCATAGGGAAATGTCTGGCAGCAGCTTCTGTCTTTCCATTTCATCCTGGAACTGGTCAACACAATCCCATTCACAATTACGGTGAGTCCTTAAGAGAATTATATTTGCTTTTAATTTTATATGTAACACTTAATTTTATTCTATATAAAAAAATAGTATATAATGCACTATTTTTTGTGCTAATAATTGTTTAATTATTTATTTTTATATTATGTATTTTATTTTAATCATTATAGATTAAAGAAAAAATTAAAATTCTATTAAAAGTGATCTAATTGATTTTATAATTAAGAGATAAAATAATGACATGAAAATATAATAATTTTTCAATTTGTATACATATATTGTGGAATGTCTACATAAAAATGCATAAATTTTATTTGTGTCAAGTTGCATGCGGCTGACTATGATATGTATCGATTTTTACATGTCCCATAGGGAATAACCTTTATCTCACAATGGACAATATGTAACGACATGCAAGCGCTTGGTGGAATTTAATTAGCTTAACCTCATTAGTTTTGGATTATGTGATGACGCCTTTATATAGCCTCTAAACTAAATATACAAATTCTTTCAGTGTTAAATCTATAAATATTTCCATACTATAAAAAAATATAGGAAACATAATTATAAAATGAATTCTAAATTAATTCTTAATTTCTAATTTAGCATTTGAACAGAAAAAATATCATTAATTAATTTTACATACTATTTGCATACTATTAAATTTGTTCATATAATACTTGTTATTAATATAATAATAATTAATCATATTTTTTTCTAATTTAACTTACATTTATAGGAAATTAATAAAATTTATTTTAAAGAAAATATTTTTGAAGATGTTAATAATAAATTCAAATATATAAATCTGATTTCTAATTAGATACAAGCGATATATCATTAAGAATCAGACATCTTGTATATATATTTTATGTACTCATATCTTTAAGGTCTTTTTTTAAATTCTAAAGTATGAATGGAAAATAAAATATAAAATAAATGGAATTTTATAGATGAGCAGGAGTCTTCCGAAAATTGCTTCAACGATATTATTCAACGTATATTTAAAATTTATATTAACGACATGTAATTATATGCATAAAATTTTTAAATTATAATAAAGTTTCATTAAAATCAGTGCACATTAGAACTTAGTATGCAAACATATGCTCCGCTATCCAGATATACGATAAATCTTTGATGCTGCAAAGCAAGCGCAATAAGCAAATTTATGTTCAAACCAAGTAGTCACGTTGATGTTTACATCATAAATATCTGCAGCTACTAGACATAACATTTATGATCGTTATACACCTTGCAAATTATAACACAAATGCTTGCTCAACTAATGAGTCTATTATTATGATTCGAGAAAATCAAAAGCACTCCGAAAAATACGTGAAGAAATGATATAATCTAGAATTGTTTGAAGAAGATTTATTTAAGCATAGCACGCATATATTTAACATAAAATATGTACTTTCATTTTAAATCATAATTTATGATTAGCAACATCTTCTTTCATTTTCATTTCTTTCATTTTCCTACGAGTATTTGATTGTAAATAGTTTATCTTTATTCATCAAATCATGAAGATAGGAATAATTAATTTTTTTGCAATAAATAGTTTGTTGATCTAAAAGTATATCTAATTAAAAGTATATGATCTAATTAAAATCATCAAAACTATATGAAAATAATTTTCTTGATAAATTAGAATATGACTGATTATACCAAGGTTATTAATTCAATTTGTAATAAATTTACAAACTATCAAAAATACACAGTGTTAATTATTATTTATAATAGTTAGAATATTATAGCAAACATGTTAGTTTTCTAATTATAGAAAATTATATAACTGAAGATATTTGTATATTGTTTGCAGTTATTATATCCGCCAATGAGAAATCTATTCATTCCGGTGTTCCTAAATTGCTGGTTGGCAAAGCACTCTTTGGAGAATATGTTTGTAAGTATTTTATTCAAATTGGCTCTAATGTAACTTATGTCAAGCTTAAATTGCTTAAATTTGCTTAGATTTGCAATTAACGTAACTGATAATTACATTTCAGAACGACCTACACAGGGCAATGCAGAAATCTCAATCGGCATTGAGTCAACAGCTGATGATCCTTAGTGCAACGTTACTGTGCCTTGTCTTTACTAGGTGAGTACTTTTAAACACAAATAGAGAATGAGATTTATTATACATATATTCACACTTTCAAAAATGTATATTTTTAATAATATTATAGTTTTTTATTTTTACTCGTAATTTTTTAATATAATATGCTACGGTAACTGAATATCTTTTAATGCGTTTATACAGTAATAATATAATTTTTCTTATCTATTTTATGACATATATTTTGAGCATCTTAAAAATACATATAATTAACAAAGATAATTGTTTGCGAATAGACTCACAAGTAAGTTCGTATTGTTTACTTTGTCTTACTTATCTTGTTTATTAAAGATATATTCCTAGTGGAATAGACTAAGTTTACGAGAAAGGAATTTCTACTTTAGGAAGAAATAATTGAAGAAGCTGCTTTTCTATTCTCGGTTAGTTATTGTATGTCAAAAGATGTCATATAAAGATGTCATATAAACATTTTTTATTTAGCTGAATAAATTATTCAGGATTATAGCTTTACGTGCGCACTCACACACACACACACACACACACACACACACACACACACACACACACACACACAAACAAC